GTTCCAAGTTTGATTTCTTGCTGCATCCAGTGGAGCATGGCTCAATACATACTGATGAGGCGCTTGGCCTGTGACATTGGAGGATCCTTTTAGAATTGGCTTGAATGGGGAATTTGTGCTTTGTCCTCCCCAAGCAAGTCATGATAGAAAGATGAAACTACTACAGAGATGCCCCTCGTCTTTTACTGTGGCAGTGGGGACCAGAAATCACTTATTTAAAATAGGGGCCTTTTTGCCTTGGTATGTAACAATTGCTGAACAGAGGGTTCCTCATGGGATGGGGTAGATGCTCTTGTATATATTAAATGAATCACATTGTTTACTTTTCATGTAACTTATGTGATGCTAAAACCTTTGACACAATAAAGTTTATACTTGGAAATCTTAATGTGCGAGTTCTGTTTGTGCAGTAAGAAAGGTTGGTCCCTGAGAACTTCACTCAGCCAGTCATTGCCTACCCTCCGTTATGGCTGTGAGCACGTGCTGGGCAAGCATGGATTTGCTTAGGAGGTTCGACATAGGCCTCGTGACCGAGTGCAGCATTAAGTCACAGCCCTCCCAGCCACTCCCTTCAGCCTATTCTGAATGTGCACTTGGAAGGGTGCCAAAAATATGAATTAATGGGGTTTTTTGGTTTTTTTGTTTTTTTTTTTCTTCCCCATTCATTAGAACTCCTACCCAGGCAGGCTTGCTCACCTTTGCCACGAGCCTGCAGGATTCTTATCCTAGTAATTTTGCAACAGTGGTACCCAAGCTTTTTACCCCATGGGCTGGATTGGGCCTAGGGTCATGGCAACAGCCTAGTCTTGTTTTGGCCATACAGGTGTAGGGGGACAAGATGGAGGTACCAGTCCAGCTGTGTGGCAATGGCTGGGCTGCTTTAGGATAAAAGGACCAGTCTTCCCTGTTAAATATTTCTTGTAATGAATGACCAAAGAGCCAGATTCTAGCTTGAGATGTGAATTCATAGTCATAGGAAGGGCTCTCAGGAGGTCATCTAGTTTAGCCCCCTACTTGAGGTAGGATTATCCCTGACTAAACTGTCACAGCCAAGTGTTGGTCTAACCAGTTCTTAAAAACGGCAAACAGTTTTCTCATACAATTGTCAGGCACAGAGCTCAAAACATCCCAAACACCCTAACCTGCTGCAAGTAAGGCAGGGAGCTGTCATTGTCCTTCCACTGCAAGTTCCGGAGGTAATTGTTAAATACTCTTGATCCAAGGAAGAGGACTGTGTTCTCCCCCACTTTTCATCTCTCCTGCTACAGGGGAAAGGAAAAGCTTCCACAGAATTAATTTAGGAGATACCATAATGTAGTGACTTGTCCATGCTGGTTTTTGCCTCTGGAAGGCTCTATCTACTGAATTAAGTGAATGGGGGAAATGGCCTTCCCCTTGCTGCAGAGAATAGCAGCTATTCCCAGTATAGAGACTCAGTAGCCTTCATGGGCACTTCCTCTTGGTTAGCATATGCCTGTGGGTTATGTTATACCCTAGTAATACTGGGGGAGGGACATATAGTCCCTGGATCTTGCTGCATGAGTTTGTGCTCTTGAACAGTCTGGAAATAGCTGCTTGGTTGTACCTTTGCCCAGTACTGGTCTGGCAGAGTTTGAACAGATCTTGTGGAGAAGTGTGGTATCCAAAGCAGGCAGGTCAGCACTGGGAGGGGGAGACCCTTCACAGAGATGGGCTCAGTCTGTTTCCAGGGAAGGAGAAGCTCCCCCTGGATTAAGAGACAAGCTGTGTTCTTCCTCACTTGACTTGCCCCTGCAAAGTGCATAAAATTTTTCCCCTGTTCTGGAGAACAGGTCTGTTGCTGACAGCTTCTCAGAGGCAAAGGATCTGGCCTTTCCTCTTGCAGGCTCTTTCTGGGCTGGATGTAAGCTGTTGTGAAGTTTAACAGGAGCTCTCCTCCAAGCAGATAGCAAGATCTTACCAGCTCACTGGCCAAAGCACAACAAGCCCCCAGTGCAGTAATGCAGCATTTCCCAACCTTTTACATCCCACAGCATACTTACATAAAAAAAAAAAAAAATTGTGGCACACCACCCCGTCCCCCTGAACAGATAATATGGCTACCACCCTGCACTGCTGCTGCTCCACAGGGCAGGGAGGTGGCGCATGGCACTGGCTGGAGCCATGCTTCCTCCCCGCCACCCCCCCCCAGCGTTGCGGACAGACACACAAGTCATTTTCAAAATTCCATGGCACATTTCTTGATGCCTGAAGGCCACACCAGTGTGCTGTGGCACGCTAGTTGGGAAACGCTGCAGTAATGTTTTCCCTGCTTTGCTGGGAAACTGCTGACTGGCATTGCAAAACCCAGCATGCCAAGCTTGGCTTGTGCAGCCACTAAGAAGCTGTCAAAGGTCTCTTCCTTAGAAATGCCATCCAACTGCAGAAGACAGGTTTGCCTATGCAACCAGTGTTGCCTTTTTCCTTGATTTACAAGCGAAAAGCACACGCATGTGGCCAAGACCTGTCTTTGCTGTGGGAGAGGAGCACCAATTGCTGGGGCTCACAGTGCAGGTGAACTCCAGGTGGTGGTGCTCTTTTTTTTTCTTTTGCCTCTAGTCCAGATGCCCTGACTGGTGTGGATGAGATGCAGCAGGACTGAGCCCAAGTCATTAACCCTGTAGCATCTGCACACCCAGCTCTTGTGGGTAGTGTGCTGTGACACTGAACAGTGGGGACTGTTGACAGCCCCTCTGCTGACGTTGATCTCCTTGGGAGCATGCAGAACTGTGACATTTGGTGTTGATGCAGAAGGCAGTGGGTCTTTTCATTTCAGTTCTGCTCCCCTGGTGCGTTCCTTACTGGGCATGGCCTTGCTCTTGCATGCTCCTGTACTGAGGTGGAAGCATGTTGTAACCCAGGATGTATGAGTAGTGAAGTGTGTTGGCCATGCCCTGGGCAGGGGCAGGGCTGAAGGCTGCCAGGCTTTCATCCCACATGTCGCACATACCCCATGAAGGAGTCTGAACTGCAGCAAGGAGTTTGCTCTTCAGGATTCTGCTCTGTGACTGATTCAGTGCCAGCATGTGGGGGTGTGAGCCAAACAGGATAGGGACTTATAGCTACTCTGGAAAAGACAGTGACTTAATGTCCCTTTTAAAAGAAGTGGGAAGTGATATCAGGCCCTAATCAACTCTAATCGAAGAGTCTGTCTTTAGGGGTTGAGATATGAAGTTGCTGCAGAGCACTGTCTGCCCCTGCTCTGCTCCCCCTATGCCAGTGGCCTCCATGTACTGCCTTCTGCCTCACCCCTTGCTTTTGCTGTCTCTTTGTCTGGGGAGAAGGGACTAAAGGCTTTCTCCAGCAGACACAGCTGACCTCCAAGGGTGTGGCATGAGGTAGTGTCAGAACAGGTGAGATGGTGAGACCTCAGCCAGGCTACTCCAGGCTGTGCTTCCTCCTAGTCTGAGCCAGAGAGGCAAGTGCCAGCTCTGAGGGGGAAGAAGGGAAGTGTGAAAGTACCAAGCAGCACTGCCTGGCATGTTTGGGGGGGGAAGAGGGGTGCAGGAGAGGTCCATCCATTATGGAACAGGGGCACTTTTCCAGGACAAAGTAATAAAGAGGACAATATGTCAATCTCTACCTTGCTTTGGGATGCTAGGACAGCTTCTTGCAAGCTTCCTTTGGAGGCACCCCCCCTCCAACTTAGCCTGCTCCTTTGAGCACCTGCTCCAACACAATTTCTGACTCCTGTGATTTTAATCATGATTCTAAGTGATGTCCCATCACTATCACTAGGGCTAAAGTCAGCAAAATATGCCTATTATTTCCAGGACTGCCCTTAATAACTGTGGGTGCTTCTGCCAACCATCTTTCCTTGAGATTGAAGCCCTGCCTCCAGGCAAAGTGGCAGCCGTAGGGGCGTGCTTGTAGAAGCACAAATAGCAGCAGCACAAATTTGTGTCACTGCTTTGTGATCCAATGTATCCCCCTGTACACGTGCTTTGGCATGCAGCAAATTGTCCTGGGTAGGGGTAGGGGAGATTGGGGCCAGCACCTACTGCCAGGTGCTCCACCCCATTTTCCCAGAACCTTTTGCTATTGGGTTTTCACATTCCCCACATGCAGTTTTTGACACAGAAGGCAGTTTGTGGTGCCTTGTGGCATCACATACTGCCTTCCGTGCCAAAAACTGCATGCCCCAGCACATGGGGACCTACCCTAGGAGAACACAAGCCCTGTGAAGAACTAAAAGAGGGGCAAAGAGAAAATTAATGGTGCAGCAGCCTGGGGCAGGAGCCAGCTTTGGGTGGGAGGGGGAGGGCTCACAGGACGCCCAAGAGGCTGCGCACATAGGCTACAGACAGACATTATACATAAACTGGTTTAAGTGATCAGAAACTGGTTTAAACCTGTAACTGAATAGATGTTCAGTGCACATAAACCAGTTTGAAAATGACTGAAACTGGTTTGAGATAAACCTGGTTGAATGTAGTATCAGACTTAACTGATTTGGCTGAAACCGGTTTATGCAATATCTGTCCCACACCTCTTCTTGGTTTAAGTTTAAGAATTCTCTGGCATCCCAGATCTTTTGCAACTCTGGGAAGGGCTCTGCTCCAGCCCAGCAGGGCTGGCCCCTCCCCTTTGCTCCCTGGCTGGAGGTAGAGACTTGCAGGCACAGCAGGGTCTTCCTGGCTTCTTCCTACTCAACCCCCTCCCCCCCCCAATCCCTGCTCAATCAGGGATCCTCCCCTCCTCTCTGCCTTACACAGATGCCTCTCAGCATTAGCTAACATATCGCATGCTGGCTATGGTCCATGCTATGGGAGACAGGACAAAGGCAGACAGGACAGTGTCCACTTAGGGCTTTTTGGAACTAATCAACAGATAGCTGGTAATGTTCCTCCATTCCTTCCCTGGAAAAAGTTGTTTAAGAAGAGTTTGAACTAATGAGAGAAGCTTTTTGTTTGATGGGCTGATAAATCCTAACAACTCTGTGTAACTCCCTGCTATGTAACTCAGTGCTCTGTTATCAACTCCCTACTGGCTCCCTTGCTGGTCAGTGAGGGGTGGATGTGGTGTGGTGGGAGCCCCTCCCTAATCAGAGCATCTTGCTGGGGCCGGGCCATGCCCCCTTCCACTCAGCAATGTGGAAGGGAAGGGAAGGGAGGGCTGCTCTGGTGTCCCCCAGCTTCTAGCCTGAGCCACTGCAGGCATGTGCCTGTGTTGCTTCAGTCCAGAGGGGATGTCTGTACAGTTACAAACCAGTTTAGCCTAGCCAGGTTAGACTAACCTGCAAAGATTGAATCAATTCAGGCTCTGGCTTTCTGAATGTCCCTAGCTGTAAAAGAAGCCAATTCATACAGAGTAGATGTGAAGAAGGGTTTGGCACCTGCCCCAGACAAAGCAAAGGGTGTCAGGGAGTTTCCACAGGTGGATTAGACCCTGCTTTTTTTGCTTCATTTCCTCTTCCCACAGGCGACCCAGCTGCCTGATGCAGACCTTCCAGTCATGGACAACAAAATGGAAGGTACCTGGTTCTCCAGACAGTGTCAGCAGGCATCATTCCTTCTACTCAGAAGCTTGCTCAGATGCAGAGCTTGGAAGAGCAGTCTTGCAATTAATTTTTACTGGTCCTGCCTTTTTGGGATGCTGTTTGCTAACCTGTCCGAAGACTGGACAACTAGAGCCCACGTGAAGAAGACATGAAGGCTGCTTGTAACCAAGGCTTTTCAAGACAAACTCTACATAATCATGACTCCTGCCCAGCCTTCCCTTTTTCCTTTATAAGATTGGAGCTTTGGGATATGGCTGAAGCAGGTGAGGTTCCAATAAGTCATGTCTCTTTCCAGAATTTCTCCCCAAGATAGCTCACTCTATTCAGCACATCGGAAGCTGGTCCTTTATGTAGTTAACTGTCCACAGGGGGGTTCCTCCCCACATCTGGAAGGGATGAGGGCCAACCCTTGCCTTTATTTCACCTCTGTTCTCACTGTCATTCTAGCAAGAGCAAACTATCTATTCCAATAGTACGCCTTTGCATTTACTACTCTGCAGTGAGTCCAGGATGAACTCTTAAAAATACACACAAACAAACAGAGCTTGCAAGCTCTGATCAAATAAACTTAGACTGCCAACAGCCTAGACTTCTCTTATTCTCTGGCTGCTTCAACTACTTAAATACACTCTATTTCACAAGGGACAGACTTCAACTTTGCTGGATGGCAATGGTTAGAATTTTATTGTTTTTGGAGATCAGTTTCATCTCCTTCCCAGGCTTTTCCATGACTGGTGAGAAGAAATAACCAAGCAGTGACTAATATTTATTAGACTGGGTAGCCTGGAAAAGTGGTCTGCAATCAGCCAGTTGAAATTCAACAAGGACACGTCCAAAGTTCTGTGCTCGAGAAGAAATACCTGCATGCACAAATATAGTCTGGGGTATGACTGGTTAGGCTGAAGTACTGCAGAGGACCTAGGGGTTACAGTAGACCATAAGCAGAACAGGAGCTGTGTGGTTTGTTTTGTGGGTTTTTTTTTTGGGGGGGGGGGGGGTGGCAAAAAGAAGCTAATGGCACTGGTTGTATTAACAGGTGTTAATAATTCAAGCAACATGAGGAAAGACTGCAAAGAGCAAAGTGGGTAGCAACAAAAGTTATTGGGCAGCTAGGGTTTAGTCTGGAGAACTTAAGACTGAGAGGAGATTTGATAACAGTCTTCAAATACCTGTTTGATGGGTTTGAATGAAGATGGGTTTCTCTCTGGAAATATGGGACAGGACTAGGAGCAGAGGCCTCAAGCTGCAGCAGGGAAATGTTAGGTTGGAGATTAGAAGGAACTTTCTGATTATGGAGGTTGGTCAACCATTTGTTCCCTAGAAAAGTTGTGGAATCTCTTTACCTGGAAATTTTCAAGAGGTTGGACAGACACATAGCAGGGATGATCCTGCCTTGAACAAGAGGCTGGACTAGATGGCCTTGTGAAATACCTTCCACTTCTTTTTCAAGATCCTATATTCTTGTAATCTGCTTTATTAGTGGAGTCTGCAGAGTCATGTTTTTCTTCCAACCTTACTGTGGGGAGGGCCTACTGTATATGTAAAGTGAGAGAGCAAAGATTTACTTGAGCCACAGAGATGGTAGACAGCTTACCCAGCCACAAAAAAATGTGATCACCATCTTGCCAATGTGCCACAGACCTCAAGGCAAGTCCAAAAAAACCTTTAGTTTCCAACAAAAGAGGAGCCACAGTGTGTTGGCAATGACCAACAATTCTCCAATAGCTGGACTGAAAACCACTGAATAGCTATCAGAAAGCCAGTGCTATCTGGCTGAACCTTGCATACTTCTTACCCCAGACAGAAAAGAGCCATCTCACCACCATTCCCCAACTCACCTAGATCACAGGTCTTACAATGAAAGCAGTGCAGTGAGATCAGGGTCTGTCTTTTATTTATATACAAACATTATGTAAAAGCATTAACAGTTTGCTTTTCTGAGCGCAAAATAATTCACTTCTGACACCATACAAAGCCCTGAAGAACATCTGGAAAAATCAATCCACAAGGAATTAAGTATCACCCACTGGTGTCAAATGGATATTTGACTCTATACAGATCACACTTCAACTGTAACAGTTGAGAGCCAGGGTCATGCTGTGACCAGTTTCAAAATTCATGACCCAGAAGTCTCGGCTGGTCTGGGGGAGATGACAGGTCCACGTTCATTCATCCAACCCAGTTTAGCAAGTGGGATATAAATGATCACAGAGCAGAAGTTCACATTGTATTTTGATGCCATGCACTAATAGGGAATGATTTCATCAGCTGGACTAAAATGAAATAGAAGCTATTGAAAAAGGGGGAGTCAGCCAAGACTCCCTAAGGACCTTGTGCTCCTCATTCTCAATAGCACCAGCTAGTTTTATCCCTCAACCTTCATTCCCTCTTGCCAGCACTTAAACACACAGAACAGAACAGCAAACAAAGAGTAACTAGTGCTCATTTGCTTCCCATTATGTTGCAGCCATGGACAGTTTTTCTCCAGAGAGTTTTACCACAAACCCAATTCGGCTCAAAGGGCAGAAAATTCACGTCACATAAGTTATAGTTAGAACTTGATGGCCATTTAACAACAGTATGCTTAAATTAAATTAATTAAAAAACAAACACTAACTTCTATCTTGCTGCACTGAGGTATTACATGCTACCTGCATCACACTGCCATCTTGTGGCAAGTGAGGGCACATCAGTCACTAGGTAAAATATAGTGGGTTGAAGGTGATTCACAAGCAGCCACCCCCATTCCCTCATGTTACATGTCAATAGAACACAAAACCCAAGGTAAGAGATACAAACCCACATGCGTAGGGGGAAAACTATAAGACGGGGACTTGGTGTATACAGCCAGCTATATACATTCCTTTGCAATACATGGTGCAGATTCAATAGGTGTGTTCTGGGTCCATGGGAATGGCTGGAGCAGAGCATGATGAAGATTCAAGCTGTCTCATGAGATGGGAGTGTGAGACCTCTTCAGGAGTCCACTCATCTCCCCATCCCTTACTCCTGTAATACAGTTCTCTTAACTGAAGACAGCCAGTCTGGTGGACAGATTTGACAAGACAAAGACATCTAGTGAGATCATCACACCCACTAGTCATGACTGGCTGCAGATTTGAACCCAAGGATCTTGGTGGCAAAGGCTAATGGCTGAAGACTACATCACTGAACTTAAAGTAGAAGTTTACAGAGGAAGAATAAAGGTAAAGGAAAATCTCACAGTAGACAGCTACATCTCCAGTAATGTCTTTGACAGCCTGATCCTACCAAATACCACCAAGTTAATGAGATCATGCGAAAACCCACCTCCTCTGAACTTCTCACCTTATCCTTTATTCTCCACTAGACTCAAGATGGGAAAGGGGAAGAAAGGCTTTATAATGCTGAGATCCAGAAAAAACAGAACCCCCATGATGGTTCCCCACTGTTCCCCACTGTCCTTTGGCAATACCCAATGCCAAAGGTCTTCCCTATTCTAGATCACGCAGGACTTGAGCAGACCTGTTGCTGCTGCTCCCTTCCAAAGCCAGGCAGTGCAAATCTGTGGGGGTAGAAGGAAGTCTCCTCAGCCCACACTTGCAGGTATGAAGTTCCAAGACCTGCTGACTTCTGCCACAGTGCCTGAGGGTTTGATCCTTAAAAGGGGCAAAGCAAGGCTTATGTCTTTCCCTGTGCCCAAAACATGGCAGATACAGGGTTAGCTAGTTCTCACTGTAATCCACCAGCTGGGGGCAGCCCAATGTGTCCCTTCATGACCATGTGGGCCACTACACTCCTGGAGGGGAGACTGAAACCTCAGGAGACACTGCAGCAATGGGTTCAGAGGCTCTAAGACTCAAAAGCTTTTCACCAGAAATAAGCCTCATATCTCTGACCTGACCTGTCTGCCCTCTGTAAGTGGACCTGCTGCTTTTCCCATCCTCCCAGGGCAAGGAAAGAGCTGATTAGGCTTTAGAGGAGGAAACGCATGTGCTTTCCTCAGCAGCAGATGTAAAGAAAATAAGCAAACACTGTTTCTAAAATAAAACCTTCCCTTTCATGCTGCATAGCCCATGGAGGGCAGCACTTTTGCCTCCAGCAAGTCATGCCTGCCTCACAGCCAGCCAACAAACAGCCTACAAGCAAGACCTGGCAGGGGAGGAGACCACAAGTATTCAACAGAAGCTGCCTGCAGAGGCATCATGCTGCCTGTCGGAGAATTGACCCCACCCAGGGATGAACGAATAGACAGACACAAAGGTGTCCTTGCCTTTCACATATGGTCTCAAAAGCATAAAACTGTAACTCTTAACAAATTACATCTCTGCTTTCAGAGACCAAGAACAGAGCATATAAAGACAATCCCAGCCCCTCAGGGAGAAGGGCACACCCCACGACACATTCGCAGATGCTAGGAAATACAGGAGATATCTGCATGTGGCAGAAGGACAGTGACTGGGCAAGAGCCTTTTAGAATGGCAGCTGCGCGTGCTGCCAGTTAAATGATGCCTGCCTTGTACAATAATGGTCTCCTTTAACGGAGGCTACTAACAGTGACTTTCCTGGAGGGTCCCAAGGGATGAGGTAGGAGCAGACCACTGAGTGTGGCTACCAGGAGGGTGCATATACAAGGGAAGGAAAGTCTTCTGTACAATGCCTTTCATTCACAATCCTACTTACAACTTGCTGTATAATAGCCACAAGGGTGAGAACGAGAGAGACAGCTGGGAACAGCAAGGCATGTGCCGTAGCGCTCTGTGGTGCAGCCTAGCCTAGCTACTCTGTGCACTCATACCGGCATATGAGCTCTCAGGGGCTGGCAGCTCCTATGGTCAGTGAGAGCACCAGAGCTCTAAAGGCATTTAAAGCTCTTTCAAATGGAGGAAAACTAAACACACACCACCAAAAGGGGAAAGCATAGAGCATTCTGCACGCATAGGTCGGTACAGCAGCACAGAGGAGGTGACAATATTGCTGGCTGCCTGGGGCACTGTTAGCACATGCGCTTGTATGTGTAGATGTAGGCTTTACAGTTGGGGCAGGTGTGTGTCACGTCCTTGAAGTCATCTATCAGACACGGGAGAAAGCAGCAGCCCGCGTCACATCTGGAACAGAAGGAGAAAGCACAACCATGTGAGTTGGAGCCAGGACATAGTGGACAGCCTGACAGCCAGGACTATGCCCTTAAGGCCACAGCCTCCTGGACACACAGTTCTCAGACACAGGACAGCATCACATCTGGTGGAAGAATCCTGGTAGCATATTATATAGGAAACTGGGGGACGCTTCAGAGGAAGAAAAGGGGCTTAAGCCCTCCAGCATAGGAAGGAGATCACAAGACAGCATGTTGCTAATGTGTCTTCACTTCAACTCAACTCCATGCAACCCAAGGAAGGTCATTCTAGGGCCTAGGCACTGAGAACAAGCAGCTCAAAAGGAACACTCTGAAGCAGTTACTAGAAATGAGACCAGCACCCTCCATTAGCTGGGTTACAGGGGGATGACTCTTCCTTGGCTGACATGCTTACACAAGGGAGGTACACAATGTACTCTGCCTGGCTGTAGCCAGTGTTACCCAGGAAGTCTGGCAGCAGGCAGGGAACTGTGTCTGTAACATACACACCAAAGCCACACACATCAAACCTAGGAGCTGCTGTGACAATGCTGAGGGATGGTGCTGCCTGGCAGGAGTCTTGGGCTGGCTCCTCATACTGCTAAACAGACGTATCTGCACTCTGGGAGGATTTTCCTTGCAAACGCTCCTTTGGGCCAAATACATGCACAGCCCCTCTGGCAGGCTGGGAAGCACCAAGGCTTTTAAGACTTGTGTTAGAGAAAAGGTGGTATTGAATTAAATTTAAAAATCCCTCCGTGTTGAACAGGAACCCACAAAGAGCCTGCAGCTCCAGGGTCAAGCCCAATCACTGCTTCACAGCACAGAGCCCACCAGAAGGAGGCACACACTACCACTGAATTCCATGCATCAGACTGCTCACAGGCTCTCTGCAGAGGAAACTGTTCATGACAGAAGGTCTCTCAATACACACTTGGGCAGCTTCCTACCAACCCTACAGCAGGTAGCAAGGGCAACCCCAACAGAGCCCATCTCCAACCTGCCTCAGCCTCAGCTAAAAGGAAATAACTGCCAAAGGGGCTCCCATAAGAGTCTAAATCCCAGAGCAGCATAGAAGAGGAACACACACACACACACACACACACACACACACACACACGCGCGCGCGCGCGCACATGCGTGCATGCAATAGCCTGGGACCCACGTGCAAGCTCACTGCCTCCCAGCCTAGTCCCTCCTTCAGCAGTGCAAAAAAACCTGGCTAAATCTTGGTCCATTTGGAGTCAGCAGGGGACAAAACAGCTCTGGAAGAGCAACCATGTAATGGAGAAGAGGGTCAGTTTCCTACAGACATGGGTCATCCACCACTGTGTAGCAATGAGGCCAATTCTTCCCTTCCTGAATCCATCCACAACCTGCAGCTGGAAGGTCCTAGGGGAGGATGAAGCTCTCCCAGTCATAGCACATACCCAACAAAGCAGCAGAAGAAGCTGAGGAGGAAGTTCATGAGGCCTACTTCATATGTGATCTTGGTAGTAATGGCCTGCTGGCAGTGAGGACACACTGTCTGCACAGGGGCACCTTGAAATATTTCCCCTTGCAACACGGTGACGGTGGTAGCAGCCCCTGATGGTACAATAATGGTCGCGGTGTGGCCATCAGGAGAGGGGTACTGCCCTGGACCAGGGTAATAGCCCATGGAAGGGTGAGGTCCTGGGGGTGGATAATAACCTGTGAATGATAAGCAGACACCTGAGGCCTTAGCATTATTCACAGAGTACCACTTCTAAAGCATGCAACTAACCACAGCACTTGCTGCAACCCCATTATGGTAGTGCCTTAGGCCCTCTGTCATGGTCTGGGCAAGCACTGAATAACAGGCAGTTGCTATCCTAGAGACTTGCAAGCTGCTTAGAGGACTTGGCCAAGGGAGCAGCAGCAGCCAGTTAATACAGTTCCTGCCTCTCTGCAGAGGGAGAACAGTCAGCTGGTGCAGCTCTGCCAGACACTGGAGGGGTAGAGACAAAGAGCTATTAACAGATCGCTACAGTCCTGGGACAATGTCATCTCCCAAAAGCAACATGCTCTCCAGAAGCACTGTCTACAAATGATAATGCTGAGGCTCCTTGTGCCCACTATAGACTCCTCAGTGCTTTTGAACAGGGAGAAAATCTTTGCATTATCATAACTGGCATGGCCTGATGGCTTGGTAGAGCAAGCAACAGCACCATGGGATTTCAGGCCTTTGTCCCTGTGCAACCAGACAGGATGCCTAGAACGTGCATGCATTCAAAGAGGCAATACTCACCATGGGACATGTAGGGCCCAGAGCCTTCTGTGGGCATGTGAGGAGGGATGTACCCAGGCTGCAGTGGAGGTTCATATGGGGGAGGCCCAAAGTCTGAAGGTGGTGCGTGTGTCCCTTGAGGCTGGTTTACAGCAGGGGCAATTCCACCTGAAAAGGAAACCAGAAGGAGGAGTCCGCTTGGAGGAGGCTGTAAAGGACCAAGGGAAGGAAAGGAGGTGCAAATTTACAGTGAAGGAGTGTAGCACAGCTGAGCCTTATTGTTCTGAGCAAGACCCCCTGGAAAGCAGGCAGGACTGACCTAGGGGAGAATTCTGGGGTGATGCTACAGGTGATGTGCTGTGCTGATGGGATCAGTTGTACTGGACAAGTGGAAACCAGGGGACACGTGACACAGTTGAGGGAGCCCTGCCAGAGGGACCCCAGTGTCTGCAATTCTCCTTGAACACAGACAGGAGAAGAAGTGGGAGGAGCTCATTTCTGGGCTCAGATTAGCTGGAAAGGAGGCATAATCAGCTCTTGATGGCCCAGCATAGGTGACAGGGAGCTTTATGTAAACCTCTGTTCACTGGAACCACTGAAGGCCTAAACTATGCAAAGGACATTATCCCTGGAACCAGCTTTCGTTCAATTTCTCCAGCTTGCTGCTACATCTCCACCAGTGAAATCTCCTCCCTCAGGGCTGAGCCCAGACTTCACATTTGCAGCACGGAAGCAAGCAGCTCTGCTTCCTGGCCTCCCAGTGCTGACCCTGGTACATGATGCCCTGCTCACACAAAATGCAGGCTTTAAGGCAAGTACCCATCCCTGGAGCACTCTGGCAGGGACTGAGCTTTCCCTGGGTTCACCTCCTCACACTATAGTCCAGACAGGGGGCACCCAACTGCTTACCTGAAGTAGGGGGTGGGCCATTCTTCTCCTCTATTAGAGGTGCTGAGGGACCCCCAGGATAGGGTGGGGGTGGGCTGCTGGTCATTGCTTAGAACTGTTCTGCAAGAAAAAGAATTACATACAAAATAACCAGCTTTGGTAGTAGAGACGCACACAGCCCAGAACTGCTGCCAGTCACAGATGGGCAGTAAAGAGGGCTATAGGGCTTCTGGTGAGAGTCAGGCATTTCTAGAAGCACTGTATGCCTGTGGAAGCCTGTTCCAGCTTGTAGGCAGACATGCGCCTGCAACCCTCACCCATGGGTCTTCCAAGTTAAGCAGGCTGTGGCCAGAATTTGAGGGAGACACATGATGCTATAAAGAGCAGTGCTCTGGATTCACCAAGGAATTTTCTTCCCTTGGAGTCAGTACTGATCTAAACCCAGCCCAGTGATAGGTGCAGCATGCTGGAAAGAGGACACATAACTAAACCCCAGTGGGTTCTGTGCCTGAGGGGATGGCTTGCACCAGGTGCAGAACAGTGGATCCTATAATCAAGACAAGAACAAACATTAACTCAAGTGCCCAGATTTGCTTTTCAGTGATTATATTCCATTGCCCAACATTCTCCTGCTGTTTCAGATACACTCAGGCTGCTTGCAGATGTTAAAAAACATGCTTTACCAGAAGCAGCAGCGCATTACTTTGACCCAGTTCCACAGTGTCTATATAGATTGGATGCTTCAGCAGGGTTTTATGGTGCTTTTAGCTAAAGCTGATTCAATCAGCTATTAGACAAAAAACAGCAAAAAGCCCCACTAAAGCACATGATCTATACAGACACTGGTGGTGAGCCAGGTCCAACTAACATGCTGCCTCTTCTGGGCATGCGCTGGGTTCAGCGTGGAAGTTTAAAGTAAAAGCACTGGGTTTTCTGGTGTTTTTGTTGTTGTTTAACACCTGCAGGCAGCCTCAGTGTCCTGCACCAGTTTCTGCCCATAACAAGCATACAGATAAACAAACAGCTGTAATTCACTGATTTCATTCCTATTCATTTCCTAATGCTTGAGAATACCCAAGATAGAGGCACTCAGTGGAAGATACCACTACCATAACTGTGGGATCAGAGAGAAGACAAAATTATCTGAAACTCCTCCCCTGTGTGCTTCAGCAGTTACACACAAAGTTGCTTCCGCTGTTCTGCATGTACACAAAAATAAAAAGCTTACAGTTTTCCCCTCATTGATCATAATCACCTCACCCAGTGGGGAAGAGCAGACAAAAAAGCCCAGAAGGCTTTTAAGGAAATATTTGTGCCCAGAAACATCACCTTCTGAAACAGAATTATGGAAAGTACCATCTTTAATTTGCAAAGTTTTACCTTTCTTCTTCCTAAAAATGGGTAGCTCAGAGGCCTTGATGGAGTTAAGAAAATAGAAGTCTTGTCTAAGCTGCGTTGCTTGAAAGTCTTCTTGATCTGATGAAGCTCTTTGAAGAGAAAAAAATAAATAGAATTATAAAAGAGTTGAAAAGCTGCTACCAAAAGGCCTGGAAAGTGTCCTAAATCCCATTCAGGCTGACAGGTACTTTTGTCCCTGGTGAACTTGTAGGGAAGAAGTGCTGGGCAGAAATTCTGGATCTTGGCAGTCTTATTTTAGGCTTACTGTGACTGCTTATTTTGTGCATATTTTAGTGGCTAAGATAGTCACACTTGGAGTTCCATGTCCCCTTAGACTGCTGCATCAGAAGCTGAGGTTCACAGAAGCACAGTCTCTCTCAGCAGAATAGAATGGGCACATGTGAATTTTATGCTACCTTTTGTCTAGGGAGTTCAAATTCTGGCTGGGTAGTAACTGCTACCTTGGAGGAGAGCAATGGACAAATTATCCCCTTGTTTCCCCGTCAGGTAGTGCACACTACACCCCCACCCCACTCATTCAGGCACCTTTTCATTTCAACCACATCCAGGGCCTCCTGTTGGTTAATTCCCATATAGGAACTGTGTCTATTACATGGCACTTTATTTTAAAAGGAGTGAAATACTTCCACCCCTCAGGCAATATGCATCATAAACAACTCTGCAGCAGCCCTAAAGCAGCAGCACAGGAGACAACTTTGTCACTCCCAACAGACTGCTAGGCAGCATCACTCCACCATCACTCCCACTGAGCTTGTAAAGCTCCCATTGAGCTTACAAAACAAACAGCCCTATATTTGGAGGGCAAGAGCTCCCCATGGGCTGGCAAACTGAGAGGACTACTCACTAACCAAGTAACCACCATGGAGACCAAGCATCACCAAAGATCAGATGTATTACAGACAAAATTTCCAGATAGAAACCAGAAGGGAGCTCCCCCAACAAGAAAGCACTTGGATAAAAAATAAAACTAATCCTGCTGCAGCTCTTCAAAATTATTGTGTAGTTCAGAACCCAAATCCAAGTCCCCTCTGGATGGGAAAGGATCAGTGCTGTGGCTGAAGTTGGCCAAGAGACATTCCCCCATGCAATGCATCCGGCCTGTCTGAGCATGTTCACAAAGAATTTACTTCAAACCATTCATGCTCTGCTGTGATTCTGTTCCACCCCAAAAGACCCATAACTCTGTGCAAGTCCCCAAAACATTAGTCATAGGGAAACCACAACTAGTGACAGTGAGGGAGGGGAGTGCAGTGAGGAACAGCCACCTTTAGCCCAACAACTGAATGGTTGCACCACTTGCTCAGAAGTAAGAGATCCAGGTTAAATCGGTCCACTTCGCCCACAGGGGTTTGAATCCATGCCCCCACTTCTCAACATAGTGCTCCAAATACCAAGCCATGGGCTAGGCAGGGCCTAGAGCTTCCTCCCTACCTCCTGCTGAAGCCAGTGCACTGGGTAGCCAGGACAGAAATATATATGTGACGGTCAGAAAGAGAACAAGGCATAGTGAGTATGGCTCAGTGAAATCAGCTTTGCAGAGGAAAAAGGGCCCTGGGTTCTGCCTCCTGCCCCTGCCCCCGATGAGGGAAAAAGCTATTCCATTGCAATCCATTTTTATATTAAATATTAAATGCAGAAACACTACTTGGGTAAGGTAGGAGCAAAGACCAGAACTTAGAGTTATGCAAGTTCCTAGGGGTAATAGGATCTAATATTTGCTTAAATTGCCCAAATATCTGTTAGCTAAAAAGTTAGCTAAATAGGTATTGCTTGCACATCTAAAAAGCACGGCTGGATTTGAACTGTGGAATCACAGGAAAAGATTAATAATATCACTGTCACAGAATGGATGAGGTCTGGCCATCTCCTCAGGCCAGAGTACCAGCATATGCTAGAAATGTTTCCTACGTGGTTTCCCTCTATCAGCACTCATAAATTTGACAGAATAATTCAGGTAGCTGGATTAGCTCAGAGAAAGTGAGAGGTCACTCCATGTGCTGTATTCCATCCTTCCTGCTCTGATCAGACTCATATCCCAAGACCCCTGTGCACCCCAGTGTCCTGTCAACCACTGCAGGACAACAACAAGGGCTTGTATAACAGCGAAGGATGCTTCTATATAGGGGGTGGGGAAGAGCAAGAAAAAAAATCAAGCCTTTCCATTGGAACAAACCTAGAAAGCAAGCAGGAGTGTAGAGCAAAGGAAGTTGATCCTAAACATGATCACTAAAATGACAGCAACAAGCTCAAGGGTACAGATCCGCCCAGTTTTAGCTAGAAAATTAATTGAATTTTTGGACAAAAACAAAAACAAACAAAAAGATCCATAGAGCAGCTCTGCTATAAGTCATTATTTAATTTAATAACAGGCAACAGTTCAAGTGCTCTTTGCTACAATTAAGCAACATGAGGCACTGGAGATGAATTTATGCACATGCATAGTACAGATTAACTAGGGTGACCATAAGGAAATTCCAGGCAACCAGGACATTCGGGACACTCCCTCCGTCACTCCAACCCCTGCCAAGTCAGTGGCACTGCTGCAGGCAGTGGCAGAGGCTGGTGGGCAGGGGTGCAGGTGAAGCCTGGAGGGGAGGCAGAGCTGCCTGATGCACCATGCCACTCTGCCTCCTTGCCAAGTTATGCCCCATGCCCCTCCAATTACAAGACTCCTATTCTAATTTTTTACCAACCAGCCAGGAGAGGCCTTTGAAATCTGGGACTGTCCCAGGGAAACTGGGACATATGGTCACCTTAAAATTAATCCAATAAGCATATGAGAATGCTGGAAAGCCAAGCCTCCTCATTCACAATGGACAGTGCCACTGAACTATGCCCTGAGCTGCAGTAACGTGAAGATGGTAAAACTCTCTCAACCAGGAGACAGAATCTGAGCAGAGCATGCATTGCAATATCTAAGCGTCCTGGCCGCAAGACAGAAACAGGGCTCAGCAACACTCTGGCTGATTACATCTGGAAGCACATATAAAATTTGAGGGAGATTCAACTCTCTTCTGTTGAAAGTTACCACCCAGCAACCAGCAGGAGCATGACAGGGAAAGGGGTAGTGCAGTGACTTTGCTGTCTCCATGGGAATTTTCTAGTGCTGCTTCCACAGGGAACTGCTAGCATTCTCAGTTCATTATTCCCATCCCCCATTATTCATCTCTAAGGAGCTGGGAAATGAGGCTAGATCATATCTGCTGTAATTCATCTACTTCATTTGGACCACAGATACTGCCTTGGCTGGCACAAGGACTGCACAGAGGTCAGTCTTGGTTGATCCATACTCAACCCTCTCAGCCAGCAGGTGGCAACAGTCTAAGCCCCTTGCAAATTAAAGATTTTTTTTGCAAAAATCTTGCTGGTCTAATACAAGATATCATCTCTACTACAAGTTCTGATTGCCTTTGCCTAGACCAATACAGCTATAACCTGGATACCTAAGCCCCTTGCTTCACACTCCAACAGCTCCTGAAACCCACCTGACAGGAGATCAGCCTTTACTCCAGCTTGTGCCATGGTAGAAAATCTGACAGACACAAGATGAACCAGCTCTGTTTGAAAAAAAAGCAGCTCAGTCTGTCCAGCTCCCAGGTACAAATAAAATGTGCAGAACAATTATCTTGGGCATCTGTTGCTTCTTCTGCTATAATTGAGATTCATATTATGCCAATGCAGATTTTGTAGACTGAACATGCAACGCAATTACTCCTGATAGATGATCTTGGCAAAGCTTATTCGCACATGGGCAATTGCCAGCATTTTGCACATTTATTCAAGTAGTCCCTTGAGTTGAGTTAACGTAATCAATATTCTCCAGAGGAATGTGGATGGCGGTGAATGTCTCCACTAGAGCCAACGTAGCCAGCCGCCTATGTTCTTGTCAAACTGCTTTCAATGGTTCTTTCAAAAACTGAAGACACAGTCACTTGCTTTTTGCTCTGCCCCTGAGCCTCTGCAGCAGCTATTTGCTTTATATACCATTTGGTCAATCAATGCTGCTTTTCTTCAACACATCCATTGTCACACTGCACAAATGTACAAAGCAACTTCTAACCATCTGCATATGAGGTTCCTACAGAGAACTGCCTTACATGATCCTGAGCTGAAATATATTTCGCTTTCTTGGATTTCTTTTCACTCATTATTTTTAGACTGCAGCATTGCATCTGGCTTCTTAAAAGACAGTGCCAAAATCCTTTTGCTTTCCTGACTGGTGCCTTCAATGAGTCCACATCACTAGCTCAGCCTCTCAGGAGCTCTCTCAAACCACATGCTGTATGGGTGCAAGGATTGTTGTGCTTTTTTTGTATTCTGGTAAGCTCTCATTTTTGGGATGATTCCACACAAAAGTATGGGAAACACTGTTTTTCATGCTTTTCGTGAAAATCATAAAACTGTGATTTAAGTAGGTCCCTAGTGAAAACACTGCCAGGTCTAAATTCATGGCCTTGCACACAGCTGCAGGGGAATTTTGCTGCCTGGCAGAGCCTCTTGTGAAGCAAAGGGACTCCAGCTGCCTTGGGAGAGAAGAGGGCCTTGCAGGTGCTCAGCACCAGAATGGACTTGCTATTTACTCTATTACCTCCTCTTTCTAAAACACTTGCCTCAGGCAGTTGCTGAGCCCTGTGGCTTCCAATAAGGCCTTAACCAGGGCCAGGCCCACAATGTTCTGGGGCCCCCTGATGCGAAGAAGCTGGCAGCGGGAGATGGGTGGCTAGTGGCTGAAGAAGCCGGCGGCAGCAGCATCAGCACCAGGGAGGGGTGGCAATTGGATGGATGTGAAACCGGCAGCGGCAGGGGAGTGGGGGATGGCGAGCGGCTGGACGTGAAGCTGGCGGTGGCATTGGTGTGGGGGGGAGGGGG